CTTTTACAACTAATCACTTTTTCCAAATCACCCCAAAAGTGCTTTTTTTAATCAGAAGCTGTTGCAAACACTCCCTCAGTATATATACTCATTTTATCTCATGTCTTAGAATGAAGCGTAACACTGAAACCTACGCTTTCTATGGACTATGGTCAACTTGATTAACTATTAATTGCTCTATCAGTCTTGCTAAGATTGTCTCATCTTTTCTTTTCGGTCCGTTATTTTAAGTTCTTCATACTCACTTTTATTACTAATCACACCACCTCCCAATGTCCCAATGTTAGTCGGACGGAGGTAGTACATGATTTTGAAAAAGCAATATGATGTGGTTATGGGGATGTTTGGTTCTTAGCGTGTTAGATGAAAACACCATTTTTTAACTTGGGAAAACGCTGGTAATACTAGCATTTTCGGTGGAAAACATTGGTAATGCGAGCGTTTTGGGTAAAAAAAAGATGGAAAACAAACACCCCCTATAACTTAGCTTTGATGGAATTTTTTTTGTCAAATTCATATGATCAATTGTTTAATACACCAAAAATTTTAAATTTCAGATAACATATTTGTATTATTTCAACTTCACTTTTCTTATGATGCACTCATACATTCTCCAATACATGTAATCTTAATTATATGATGACATTAAATAAAGGTCGCTCTACAATATGTATGGCCTCTTGCTAATCCAAGTTCATTTTTTATTTCTAAATAATTGCAGAATATTGATTATTGAACCATTTGGGGTAGTACAACTTGAATCCATAGAGAAACAATCCAAGTTCATTTTTTATTTCCAAATAATTGCAGAATATTGATTGAACCATTTGGGGTAGTAGTACAACTTGAATCCATAGAGAAACTATGGTTAATTATTATCTACAAGTTTATTAATTGTTCTTTTTCCTTAAACTTCACACAACTTCTAGAGCTAGAGGATGGAATTTATCAATGAAACCGAAAAAACTTTCCTATGAGATGTAAAATCAATTATTTCCAAAATCTCACCTTTGTTAAATACTATGATGAATTTATCAAGTATGTATGATGGATGTAAGCTTTCAAAAATAATATGTTTCTATATTCTTCTTTTGTTACATCCAGAATTCAATACTTTATTAGGCTCTTTTATAATGTCTTCATATTCAAAAAATTCAAATGCACCAATGCCCAATTTCAGTGGACATGGGTCATCAGAACTCCAATTGTTATCTCACTTTTTATACAAAATGTTTTTTTTGTTAGTCTGCCATCTTGAGTACACAATTAAACTCAACTCATAATTTAGTTGGCGGTGCGTATCATACTTGCATAGAATAAAAAATACGGACTTTTGAAACGTTACACTAGCTTACTACTTTTAAAAATAACTGCAATTGGCCATCTATTTAAGAAAATAACCCTGATAAAATCTCAAGCAACTAAAATAACTTAAAATAAAAACTTAATAAAATCTAGTTATCACCAGCAAATGTGATAACCACCTGGATCCAGGAATTTATTCAAACTTCAAATCCTCAAATAAAATAAAGTAATATTTATCACTTTATTATAACACTGAAATACTGAAAACCAAATAATATCTAGCCAGAAGCCGCCAAGGTCGTTCCCGTTAACTCATCTAGGCACGCGTTCCACTCTCTCATCATCTTCCTCGGCCTGGGCCTTACCCTTAGCTTTACTATCTGTACATGCGAAGAAAGAAAACTGATAAGCTTTACGCTTAGTAAGTCACTAAGGATCCACAAAAATGTGTAGAAGTCTATGTCAATTTATCAATAGATAAATTTAGGCTATAAGCATGCACTGAACAAATAACTAACACACAACTTCTCAAATACATTCTGAGGGAGATCTCAAAAGGAAATATTTTCTAAAATAATTTCTCAAAACTGCTGGAGAGATCTCAAAATTTCTTTCTAAAAACATCTCTATAAAACTATCTGAAAAGAGATCTCAAAACAACTTTCTGTAAAACTTTCTGAAAGAGATCTCAAAAACAACTTTCTGTGAAACTTTCTGTAAGAGATCTCATTAAACAATTTTCTGTAAAACTTTCTGAAAGTGATCTCATTAAACAACTTTCTGTACTACTCTTTGTGGCTAATTTTACTCTGTGGGCCCGTGATATGTACTCAAAGGCGCCAATCCGACAGCTCAGGGGAACGACCCACTAAACATATCTGACTCTCTGAAACTCTGATAACTCTGTGGGAACTTGTTCCCGAGTACATATCACTTAATCTTTCACTGTAAATATTAGTTCTTTTTAGGGAAAACTGTCAAATAGGTCCTCGAACTTTCATAAAAAAGTCAATTAAGTCCTTCTACAGGAGACTCTGTCCGGTCGTCGCGATTTGGGGCGGTTCCCGGTGGATTTTTTTGATGAAATTTTTTGTGCATCTTATTTATCAAGTCTAGTTTACTCATACCAAATTTCAGCTAAAAATTTAATCGGGAGCGCATTAAAATTAATTCGAGAACGCAAAAATGCGCAGTTATCTTCAAGAATTAATTTGAATGTGTTCCCGATTGAATTTTTAGCTGAAATTTGGTATGAGTAAACTAGACTTGGTGAATAAGATGCTCAAAAAAATTCATCAAAAAATTCCACCGGGAACTGCCCCAAATCGCGACGGCCGGACAGAACCTCCTATAGATGGACTTAATTGACCTTTTTATGAAAGTTCGAGGACCTATTTGACAGTTTTCCCTTCTTTTTATGGTGACGTTTGACTAAAAACATCATTAAATCTGAAAATAAGAGTACTGACAAAATCTTGACTATGCCAGATAGTAAACATAACTTAATTCAGCAAATAAAATAACTCAGCCAATAATTCATCAAATTCATATAGTAGCACATATATAGACTAAAATCATCTATTAAAAATCAACCAGACTTCTTCCTTTCATTTGGTTGAACAAACATGTACAGGTGGTAGTGAACTTACCTGTTAGCAGGTGACATCAAAATACTCAGATAAGTGTGGCACCTTGATAACGTCTTCCGGTAAGCTCTTCTTAAAACTCTTTAATTAAATATAAAGGATAATTAGAACTTCTATATTTTAATAGAACTCCCAACCATCTAATATTGCTCTACCAGATTCGATAAGTTGCTTCTTAAGGCTCTGGGTGCACAAGGGAAGGGAGACCACTACTAAGCTTCATTAATAAAACTACACAAACTTAAACTCAATTGTAACAAGTTATTTTGATAAAATATTTATAATATAAGGTTATTTTTAGTGGCCTGCTAGTAAAATAAATTTCTCATTTAAGGAACAAATGACAAGTCGAATAGACTTCTGAACCACTTGAAATCTATTTTGTAAGAACGAAGACTTCAATTAGAAGATAAATATAGTCTTCTAAAATATGATAATGACATCAAAGGAGAGGGATTTCATTTCACAAATAGGATAAATTAAATATTTTGAAGGGGACTAATTTCAAAAACGGACCGCACGGGAAACATGCCCCTGACTGTAATTTCCAAAGCTCCAATTCAAAAGTGATTCGATTGCAAAAAATTTAATAACACTATAATTAACTAGACTTTAACTAACTTAAATCAGTTTGTGAGGAAATACAGATTTGAATTGACAGGGATCAACAAAGATAGTTGTAAACTCTATTACGGTTAAAAATCCCACTGAAAAAAACCTACTTCTACTATTAAATCCTGAAGTACCAAAATTAAAAAGATAAACTTAAACCAGAAAGTAATTTCAGACTTACCAATTTTGAGGAGGTGATTCAAGCACGATTGGAAGAAAAGAAGACCTAGGTGGAGAGACGAGATAGCAACACAAGACCTGGGTTTTCCCTTGAGCCCTTCCGTACAAGTATATAGCTTAAATGCTATGTTCTTAGCATGCTATGAAAGAGACCTCTAGGGCTTTAGTTTTACAAAATGTGTTTATTAAACTTCAATCGGGCTAAAATAACTAATTGGGTCGCAGATTATCTTTAAGACAAATTTTCTGCACAAGCTTACATAAATATACTCCCTTTAAATGATAATATGATTAAATTCAAAATAATATTTACTTATTTATTTGAATTTCTTGGAACTTACCGGTCCACATTATCTGCCACAAACAAAACAATAAATCACATTATTCATAACAAAAACTTACTTAGCTGAATAAAATAATAACAACTGATATAACTAGCTCATAAATCCGGAGGTGTTACAACTTTAGATAACTGGGGAAATGGATGACTTCATATGCAATTTCGTAATTTGTAATCCCGTGCAACGCACGGGTGAAAGACTAGTAATTCAATACCCGAAGACTCCTACCTTTGGAGATGAGGAGAGTTGAATGTACAAAGTCTTATCACCGTACTAAAGCACATAAAGATGCTTACCGGATGAATCATGATGAAAATTAAGTGGATTTACTATTTGAGTGAACTATTTGGTTTTATTCCACCATATTTCCAATTAAACAAATCGTGAGTATTTGACTCCATTTGAAATGATGAAACTCCTCACTAACCTTTCAAATGTCAACAAAAATACTTTCTCCCCCTTCTTGAGCAGATTATAGTCCAAGTAAAAACATCCCTAGAACTGCAGCCTTATTAAAAGCCCATATCAAAAATAAATTGAACCTAGTCCTATCCAGCTCATATTAAAAACAAAGCCCAACCCAGCCCAACCGGGGATATAAGACCGAACATGTCCCATGCAGCCATGCGTAGATTCACCCAGAGTTGTTGCCACACCTATAAATGTAGAGCCCGTTTGGTTACACGAAAATCAGCTGCTTTGGCTGATTCTGCTGAAATTTATGAAGTTCTGACTGAAGTGACTGCATTTGCTGTTCTTGCTGATTTAAGAAAGGAAAAAATTAAAATATATTTTATTTATAAAATAAAGAAAAAGTTATATGTAAAAATAGCTAGAATGATCGTCTACGGTAACTTCAGTCAATACAGCGCGCTAAAACAAAAGTTACGTGTTTGGTGAAAAAGTCTGATAAGCCGAAAAACAGGGTTGACAAACCGCTTCTTTGTCAATCGAAATTCAAATTTTAGCAGCGGTTCACTGTCGATCGGCGCCGTTTAACGAACAACACCGATTTATCTTAGGTCAGTGGTTTTTATTTTGTGGGGTGCAGTTTCGTAATCTGGCTATTTTAGTAGTTATTTTAACCTTTTATTGTATCATCGTCGTTTTATAATACTACTAGCTAGTATGATATTTATGATTATATTTGCAATTGAATACCTTGTCCAATTTCCGTTTAGTCTCCTTGTTATCGTCGTCTTCGGTTATACGAATACATATCGATGTGCACGATCTTCATGTAGTTAGTAGTATCAGCTTTTTAGATCCATGTGAATTTCTCATAAAGTCTCTTATTATCTCATCTTTGTTGCTGATTTGATTTTTCCAAATCAAGGACGAAGAAATTTGACCACTTTCAACATATCAATGACCTGTATAATTATCTATTGTGAAAAGGAATGTGTTTGCCTTGAATCTGGTGGTCTTCCATACGGTTTTTCGTTTGTGCGCACAGGTTTTGCTGCATGTTTTGGGCTCGGGGTTTGCCCACTTGTGGGCCGTATACTTCACCATCTTAATTAGTAGTATTTCTAGGTTTTTGGAGCTTAATTAACTATGTTGTGATGCTTGTAGTATTGTGTTGCAGGTCAAATTCAATGTCAAGTCTTCTGCAAAAGTAGAAAGAAGTTTTGCACGTTTCCCGTACAAGTATATCTCCTTTGTTCTGTCCTCATACTATGTATTAACGAAAGGAGTAATTTTTTCTCAATCTTAAAAACATACCTTAGTAGCTAGAAGGTTCTGAATTGATAGATACACTTTGATTATATAGAGGCTGCCTGTATGGATGGAGTGAGTGTCAAAGCAGTTGAGAATCATGAGAGGGAGCCATGTAAGGAGAATGTACGAGAGGAGGTTGTGCATGATGTTTCAGCTAAGGATTCCAAGTTAAAGTATAAACGTGGTTGTGATCGTGGTCACATGGCGTGTGTTGAGAACTTTTGGGAGGAGGCCTGGAAATATCGTGATGGTAATATTGTGGGACTATTGGTTTTACTTCAAATTTTTATTCAGTAACATGGTGATATTTATTCTTGCGTAAGACATGATATCATTATGTTTGAGAGTTTGACTTTAAGCCACTTTATCACTTATTTTGATGTCAAAATATATAAAAATAATTAAATTAAAATAAAGATTGTTTACAAAAATGTGACTCGTGACTAGAGTAATAATGTACTCCCTCCGATTCAAAAACAAGTTCCAGTTCGGTTTACAATGCTTGAATCGGTTTACGATGCTTGACAGACGATAAAACAATGCTTGAATCGGTTTACGATGCTTGACAGACGATAAAACAACTCGATCCCTGTTCACACTCGAATTATTTTTAGTAAATAAAATTTACATATTAAGAAATTACATTAAAACCGCTACAAAGCCTGACCAAGAAAATTTCAATTTAATAAAAACTTGATATATATATATATATATATATATAATAAAAGATTAGGAGTGACTTAAGTTGACCAATGAATAGTAAAGTGGAACTTGTTTTTGAATCGGATGGAGTATTAACATTGTATTAACTATTAGTCATATTTGTGTTAATAAGTTTTATTTTAGTCATACACATACACAGTGCTTGATTATAGTTTGCCTGTTATTTTTGTGGTTACTAGACAACAGTGTCGGATCTTGGCTCCAAGTATGGGGTGTTCAAAATAATTATAGTGACTACCCAACACTATTACTTCGGTCAGCAGTTGTAACTTTTCTAACATTAAGGGGTGTTTGGAACTGATTCTGCTTCTGCTTCTTTTTTAAATGAGAAGCAGAATCAGTTTTCAGAAGCTAGTACCCCCAGCTTCTAAAAAAAACTGATTCTGGGAGTAATTTAGTGCACCAGAAGTGCTTCTGGAATTTCACTCAAACACTCCAGTTTCTGCTTCTGCTCCCTGAAGGAGCAGAATCAGTTTTGAGAATCAGATCCAAACACCCCCTAAAAACCCAATAAACAAGGTTAAAGCAAGAAATATTTCATAAAAATACAATATATAATTTATTACATCAATTTTATAGATGTTTTTTTACATTTTGTTTTCACAAATTTGGGTGTGAACACCTTTGAACAATATAGGTTCGCCCCTGCTATACAACCTACTATCTCACTTCTGGTTAAACACTTGAACATTATCATAGGTAGGGCCATAGGGGTCGAATATTGTATAGATTATGCACAGTGAGGATTAATTGTTTTGCAATTGTGCAGTGGATGTCATTCTATTTAATCTTGACCCGGATAATGATGATCTTTTGGACAAGGTATAAATTTTCAATTCTTTTCTAATAATTGGGAGATTATTATTTTTACATGTATTACTTAGTACGTACTGTATGTATGTAGTATATTCATCAAAAACTGTGCTCTGCATTTGAGTATTTGACTCTACTGTGTGCAAAGTAAGCACTAATTTAGCACTAATTTGGTTGTCACAAGTAACTCGGTTAAATGGAAGGGAGGGTTGGTCTCGTGTAGACTGTGTAGTATGTTTGGGAATTGCGAATATCAAGTCACTCTTTTTTCACAATAGCTCTTGTACATCGTATTTGATGTGTTTTTAGGATGAAACTATGGAGCTGCTCGAGGCCAGTTTATTGGAAATGGAAGAGGAGGAAGAAATGGAGCAGAGAGCAAAACTGACTAAATGTGGTAGCAGTGAGAAAGTTGAAGTTTAATACTGTATGAATGACTCTACATTGTCGCTCAATAAGTTAAGAATTGTGTTTGATTGCTTGAAGAAGAGTACTAGTTACTCCACCCGTGCGTTGCACGGGAGTTCAGTATATTATAATATTTTAAATGCAATTATATGGGGAAAAAAGTTTGAGAGTAATCCAATAAACTCAAAACAATAAATAGATTACAAAGTAAGATATATGTCATTATAATAGCAAACTAAAAAGGTGTACATGTAAGCCTGTTACATGGTAAAATTCACGTCTCTAATTTTCACAGCCTAATCGGGAAGGCCGTAAAAAAATATTAGTATGTAACATCAACTCGTTGGACTTGTTACTCACGGTACCATCGCCACATACCCCTTTTGATGTGAGACAAGAGGGAGGTGGGAGGAAGCTATCAAGGTACCATGAGGGGGTCCATTTACACATTATTTTGAGAGAAATGCCAAATAGGCTATCCCCTCACTCACCCTCTCCCATCATTTCGGCCAAAGAGACCCAAGAGAGAAGGATAGCTCTTGCAACCTCATCCTCCATAGCCAAGAACTGAACTCAAGCAAGGAAGCTCCAAGGAGGAAGATTAAAGGGAGAAAAAGGCTAGGAAAAGTGAGAAAGATTAAGGTAATGACCTTGTATTAACTTTTCCTTTATTTTTCCCCTAACCTATGAGATACATATCTTATGGAGAACCCTTGAGGTTGTTCTACATGACAATAGTGTGGAATAATGGGTTGGGGAGTAGTTCTAAGTCCAAGAACGGACTTAGAAGCCAAACCGACCGGTTCACCGGAAAATAACCTTTTAAGGGTTATGTGTATTGATTAAGGTTTTATGATGTTAAAACCTTGTTAGGAACTTGATTTAGAGTATCTTTGAGCTTCGCCGGAGTTTCGCCGGAGTTGGTCAAAGTTGGCCGGAGTTGGTCAAAGTTCACCGGAATCGGTCAAAGTTCAACCGCGGAGCGTAGAACACGCTTAAGCTCACTTAAGGTGAGGATGACCGACTATATTGCTTATAATTATTGGGTTAATTTCATAAGATTACCTACATGAATTATATGTGTTTGGCATGATGTATTTATAATAATAAAATGCCTAAATGAGATTTTTATTGTTTATAAGCAAAAATGCATAATATACAAATTTATGAATAAATTGTGTATGATTATGTGTTATGAATACAATGGTATAATAGTTGTGTAAACTATAAACTAAATTGTGATAAATATACTTTTACCTCATGTAAGGAAGTCATGGGAGGATAAAAGTGATATTTTGATATTAGAGCCAAGTTATACTTGAATGTGGAATTTAATTGAGATATTCAAATTATTATGAACTTAAGTTACCTTTGGAGTAGGCCTTAAGGGTTACTCAAAATGGATGGAACCTAGACTAAGAAGTAGTTTAGGGATTAGTTGACGTGACTATGAGCCGAGCTCTAGCACGTGGTAGCATGACTATGAGCCGAGCTCTAGCAAACGTAGGGTGACTATGAGCCGAGCTCTAGCACAAATTAGTATGACTATGAGCCGAGCTCTAGCAAACGTAGAGTGACTATGAGCCGAGCTCTAGCACAATTTAGTATGACTATGAGCCGAGCTCTAGCAAATGTAGTGTGACTATGAGCCGAGCTCTAGCACAATTTAGCATGACTATGAGCCGAGCTCTAGCATGAAGGAACATGAGTTAAGTACAAATGAATAACATCTTGGATTGAGGGTCTTGGAAATTGAAACTTTGATTATACTTAGTATAGTTGTCATTGTACTTGTCAAATGCTTCCAAGTACTGACCTCCCCTTCACGGGGGAGGCCACCTCACAGTTTCAGGTAGGGAGTAGAGCTTGCTACTACCGTTCGTTGCTTCGGGAATTCAAGGAGGAAGGCGGGGTTCGTACTTCTCCTGTTTCTGTTTTGAAAACAATTTAAATAATGCTCATGGATATTATTTCGAATATTTATTTGGGGGCTTGTATGCCCGTGGTTGCCACGTGTGGCTTGAATATTTGTAATTATGTTTCCGCTGCTTAATTAAATATTTTACGTTATGATTGTTTATGGATGTACTATGTGTGAATGGTATTCAAGACGCCTAGTATAGTATGGATGAGTTGGACTGCGGTTGACTATTCGTACTGTACGGCGGGTTGTTGACGTGTCCGGTAGGTCCGGGGCGTGACAATTTAATTGGTATCAGAGCCTTAGTCCGTAAACTTCATAATGAAGCTTCAAAACCTCTTTTGAAAATGAATTTGAAAACCATGAGCATAAAAAGTTTTGTACTTATAGAACTTTTGGTACTTGAGTTGCAAAGTCTCTAATTGTTAAGATGGTACCCTTAACAATTGGTATGACGGTGATTTGAGCCAAAAGATGTCTTTAAGTACCTATCCGTCACTTGACATTGACACGAGTCTAATGGCTCATTCTAAACTTCTTTCAGAAATGGAACGTACCGGTAGAATTACTCGACGGAACCCGACTGGCCAGGCGCTGGGAGGATCCCAACATGGCAGTCGGGGGGGATCAAGAGAGTCTAGGGGACAGGACCGTGCAGGCCACTCGCTGACCGTGAGTGACGGTCACGTGGAAACAATAGATGAGCACTATGAGTCCGAGGAGGATTCAACTTACCAACCGGGAACTGAGCCGGTTGAGACCCCATATGATGGGGAACACGACGATGCTAGTGATGAGAGCGATGATAATGACGCTCTTGAACGGATTGAGGAATTGCTCCGGCAATACCAACAAGATCGCCAAAGGCGCCGGGCAAGGCGTGCTTTGGAAGGGGCTTCGAGGAGAGGAAGCCGCGCGACTCCTAGGGAGAGCATTGAACTCCGAGGAGGTCGAGGTGCCGAGGTTCCTATCATAAGAATCTCAAAGTACCTAAAGGAGGCAAGAGACTTGGGATGTAAGCCGTTTGATGGAACGGGAGACATCTCCGTGGCGGCCGAGTGGATCAAGAGATTCAATGAAGCAGCCCTTGATATGCAGCTGCCACCCCATATGAAGATGAGGGTGGCAACAAGGTTGCTAGAAGGAATGGCGTCCACGTGGTGGGACGGTGTCAAGGGGAAGTATGGTGAGACGGTCACTTGGGAGAACTTCAGGCAAGAATTCTTTAGCCAATACTACTCCGACTTCGAGGTGAACTTGAAGAGAAGGGAGTACACGAATTTGACCCAAGGAGGGGAATGCACGGTGAAGGAACTTGAGCACAAGTTCAGAAAACTTGCTGAGTTCATACCGGAGTACATATGTGACGAAAACCGGATGGTGAACCATTTCTGGGATGCCTTAGACCTTGACATACGTGAGAGGGCAACACAATTGCCTAATATGACGTTTAGTCAAGTGGTTGAACAAGGCTTGAAGGGAGAAAAAGAGTGGGAGGAAAGAAAGCGAAGGAACGCCGAAGAGGCGAAGAAGAGGAAATGGGAGAACCATGGCCCCCAAGGTTCTAACAAAAAGGGGAACCACGGGGGAGGGGGATCGTTCAGAGCGCCGGCACCGCCATCCAAGGGAAACTCGGCCTTCGGCGGGCACAACTCGGGCTCACAAGCCTCAACGGCGCCCAGATGCAGAAATTGCAACCGGAGCCACGCCGGTAAGTGTCGCGATCCGCCGCGGTGTTACCAATGTGGGGACACGGGGCACATTAAGCCAAATTGCCCTCAACTTGGTAGGAACCGAGGAGCGGGATCAAGCGGCGCTACTACGGCAAGTAGGAGCCGAACCGGAGCACCTCATGCTAGTACGGGACAAGGGGGAGCAAGTACGAGCAACGCACCCTCCGTGAACCAAGGAAGGACCCAAGCAAGGGTCTACGCAATGACGGAGGCGGATGCCCGAGCTAACCCAGATTCGGTTGCAGGTTTGACCGCTTAACTCCTCTCGCTTTACGCATTCCCATCCATAAATTGAAGTTATAAATCCTAGAATCCAGGTGAGAGCAAACGTAAGATCGAAATGGGAAAAGAGAGCAAACCATGTTACTACCCGACCGGGTAGGGCAATAAACCCGACCGGGTAGGACAAGTTTTTGCCCTCGTAAGCATTCTGGATCACATACCCGACCGGGCATTTTGGGCCACCCGATCGGGTCTACTGAAAAATCCTACTGGAATACCCACTGGAACACCTACCCGACCGGGTCTGGTGGTGTACCCGACCGGGCCTGATGAGAAAATCTGGGCCCGACATGCTACCAGACCGGGTAGAGTGGGAGATTACCCACTGGAACACAAACCCGACCGGGTCTTATGATGTACCCGACCGGGTCTGATGAATATCGTGGCCCGACTTGCTACCAGGTCGGGTAGAGTGGGAGATTATCCACTGGAACCCATACCCGACCGGGTATGGCATGTTACCCGACCGGGTACACCCCAAGGTGTTCGTCAAATGAAAAAGTTGTCTTCATGAAAGTTGTAGATATTTTCATTGTCTAAATGATGGAATTTGAATCGAACGATTTGGTTAAGTATGTGAAGAGATATGATCAAAACGGTGAGACAGTGTCAATTTATATCTCAACTGCGAACGTTAACTATAATTGGGGGACTTTGCCCACTTTAAGGACATAATTTCGCATTATGTTCTTCGTAGGATTGGTCGGTATGTTAGAGAGGTATCTTACATGGCTTATAAATGTAGGAACACTAAAGATTAATGGGAGATGTGCGAGAATCCTCATCGATACCGGGGCGCAACGATCATTTGTGAGTGAGGCATTCGCCGGGGGATTCAACGCACCCCTGGTACCGATGACTCAAGCCCTATTGGTATCCACACCCCTAGGGGAAGACATCGAGAGAGATAGCCACTATCCATCGTGTGAGGTGGAAGTGGAGGGCCAAAACTTGTCGTGTGATTTCGTGCCGCTGAGTATGATTGAGTTCGATGCAATCCTGGGGATGGATTGGCTTGAGAAGCATCATGCTAGGGTCGATTGTTACACGAAAGTACTTGAACTCGAAGGCAATGAAGGGGTGACCTTACGCTTCGAGGGGGATAGGGCAAAATCCAATAGTTGTATCATATCCGCTGTGAGGGCTAAGAATATGATGAGGAAGGGATGTCACGCATATCTAGCGTACGTGGTGGACAAAACCAAGGAAGAGGCGAGCATTGATGATGTGAGGGTGGTATGCAAGTATCCGGATGTCTTTCCAGAAGACTTACCGGGGCTTCCACCCGATAGGGAGATTGAGTTCGTGATCGAGGTCGAGCCCGGCACCAAACCAATCTCCATACCGCCATACCGTATGGCACCCGCTGAACTTAACGAGTTAAAAACCCAATTGCAAGAGCTTTTGGATAACGGTTTCATCAGACCAAGCCACTCCCCGTGGGGAGCACCAGTCCTTTTTGTGAAAAAGAAGGATGGAACACTTCGAATGTGCATT